GGTCACTGGGGGAGCCGGCTCTGTGGCAGGACTGTCTCATTTCCCATTCTCCTTGAATGCAGCAATTCCTTGTCTTTTGGGCTTTTGCAGAGAAGTTGGAGGGTCCCGTTGAGGACAAGGACGCAGCTGAGCAAGACGGCAAGAAACAGTCGGAGCAAGAAGTACGTCCCTTTTTTCTTCTTGAAATGGACAACGTGTATGAAATTGTTACACCCTCATTTTTTTTGCATTGTTTTCGCATCCGTGCAGACATGTGCGGAGCCGGCGCATGCATGTGAAGAGGAGGAGGAGGAGACGAACCGACGTAAGGAGAAGGAAGCGGCTGGGGGGGGAGCCCAAAAAAGGTAGGCGACTGACGGCGACCACAGCAAGGCGGCCTCCGAGGAGAAAACGGGAGGAGACGACAAAGAGGACAAACCGGCAGAGAGGACGGTTGGTCAGGACTCGCCTAAAAGTGAGAGTCAGGCCAAAGAAGCGGAGAAGCCTCCCGAGGGAGAAGACGGCGAGGAGAAGGAAAGCAAAGCAGGTCAGGATGCAAGGGCACCGTTTCTCAAATCGGGGACCGCCAGATAATCTGACATAAATACAATGTGTTGTATCGTTGCTTCAAAAAGTGCAGACCTGCAATAAAGGTGGCAGGCATGCTACTCCAGCAAAATTTGAAAAAAGCTCAATTTAGAAAATGGACATCACAAGTCTTTTTTTTTTTTACCTTTTCCCTCTCCTTTTTTCCTTTTTCTTCCTGTGTGTTGTTGGTGCAGATGAGGTGAAAAGCGAGGACGCTGCCACTGCGGACACTCGCCTGAATGGCGACAAAGACGCGCCGGATGAATCGGACGATGCCAGGAAGGAGGACAAGAACGGATTCAAAACCAAGTTCATGTTCAATATCGCTGATGGAGGCTTTACAGGTGAGTGATCGCCTGTTAGGATGGGACGCCTCGCTGCCGTTCTTTGTCGCATGTGAAGAGCCAATGCCAAAGCGAACCCAAAATCGATGTGTTCCCGTCTCAGAGTTACACACGCTGTGGCAGACGGAGGAGCGGGCGGCGCTGTCGTCCGGCAAGATGGCCGACATCTGGCACCGTCGCCATGACTACTGGCTGCTGGCGGGCATCGTCACGTATCCTTTCCTTTCAAGTCGGCCTTTGGGCCGTTGCGGGATTTGCGTGTGTCCCCTTGACTGAAGCGCAGGCACGGCTACGCGCGCTGGCAGGACATCCAGAACGACCCGCGCTACGCCATCCTCAATGAGCCCTTCAAGACCGAGATGCACAAGGGCAACTACCTGGAGATGAAGAACAAGTTCCTGGCCCGGCGATTCAAGGCCAGTGGGGGATGCACGGACAAAGGGAGGCTGTGGGGGGGTTGGGGGGGGGGGCCACCACGGTTCCCACGGCTGACACGTCTGATCCTTGGCTTCAAACCCTAATTAGAAACCTGAACCCTTGACTGGAACCGTCATGACTCTTAAAACCCGAGTTTGAAACGGTAACCTTTGCTAATTTGAGATGTCAAACCTTGTTTGGAAGACCAACCTCGACATAAAAAAAAAAAAAACTAATTTGAGACCACCACCCTTGTTCGAAACCTTCACCCTGACCTAGAATCCAAACCCTACCGAGGATGCTTGAAATCTTGTCGTTGTAACGCGAGGTATGTTGCATGTCTTGCGGTTGGCGCAGTTGCTGGAGCAAGCGCTGGTGATCGAAGAGCAGCTCCGGCGCGCCGCCTACCTCAACATGAGCCAGGACCCCGGACACCCCGCCATGGCTCTCAACACGCGCTTCACCGAGGTGGAGTGTCTGGCCGAGTCACACCAGCACCTGTCCAAAGAGTCCCTGGGCGGGAACAAGCCGGCCAATGCCGTGCTGCACAAAGGTCCTCCTCAACATCCATAATGGCGTCTGTCTGTCTGTCTCTCTCTCTCCTCTCTCAGTCTGTGTCTGTCAGCTTTGAGAATTTTGCAGCAAGCAAGGTCCTGCATGACATGAAATTACACATTTGTTTTTTGGTTTTGTAGGAGCTGTAACGGCTTAACAACATTTCCATTCGTTTTCATGGCTAAAGATGATTTGAGATCCAGCTGTGTGTGTGTGTGTGTGTGTGTGTGTGTGTGTGTGTGTGCGCAGTGCTGAACCAGCTGGAGGAGCTCCTTAGCGACATGAAAGCCGACGTGACGCGGCTGCCCAACATGTTGTCCCGCATCCCGCCCGTGTCGGCCCGCCTGCAGATGTCCGAGCGCAGCATCCTGAGCCGCCTCACCAGCCGAGGTGGTGAACCTCCCCCGCAGCAGGTGCGCGGATAGCGATTTAGATTTCATACAGAATCACTGGTTCAGCATTAAATACATGTTTTTGTCTCTCTCCCTCTCTTTTTTTATTTTTTTTTGATCAGACTTTCAGCCAGGGAGGTTTCACATGCTCCCAGCTGTACGGAGGCACATTTGGGGGTGCGTTCAGGGCCTCCGGGGGGCAGCCCATGGTCAATTACAGTCAGATGCCTCTAGGGCCATATGTCAGTGGTAAGAAAAAGCAACTCCAGCCCTTTTGATTTTTGATTAAAAAACAGGCACATCGATATGGGGCAGGGGTGGGGAGTTGTCGTTGTGGGTTGGTGGTTCACACATTTCACAGATCTGTGATCTCCATGGCCAACTTTGCATCATCCACGCGTGGAGGTCTGCTTTGCGCACTTTGATGTCCTGGATAGACTCCAGTAAATCAGTTATGGCTTCTGCCTTGTCAACGACTCTGCGCTGCACACATGCGGATTTTAAAGGTAACGAGATGGGCCGCTTTGCGTGGTGGCGAACTGTGTGCCTCTGCAAAAATACCAAAACAAAGTCTAGCCTGCCCCTGTGCAGATTTAGACTGCCTCTCGCGCCAGACTGGACAGGAAAGTAAAGCCAAAGGTGCGCAAATGACCTTGGCACCTGTACAAACCTGTGTTGAAAAGTTTTGTTTGAATAAGACACCTGGATGGAAGAGCCGTGATTGATTTTGAAACATAGCACACGGTAACACAATAACCTGAACAGTAAAATATTCGGGAGAGTCGTGTTGAGGTACGTAAATGACACTGACAAGCATCAAATCCAATATGGAATCGTTTTCTTGATTTTCAAAACAAACTCAAGGTACCAAAACGACCTTGACAACTTTAGGAATTGTGGAAGAGTTCTCGTGTTTTTGAATTTGTGCGCCAACTAATTCTGACAAGTGCAAAAAAAAAAAAAAACATGTACAGATAAAACCTCTTGATTTTGAATGACAAGACCATACAAACATCTCAAAGTTGCATACAAGTTTTCAGGAACATTTTGTTGAAGTTAATCGTGTTAAAAGAACAGAAATACTTCAACTTGCGAGGTCTGCTGGTGGTCGCTCCCGTTTCAGTCTTTGTTTTTGTTTTTTTGTTCCGGTCCGTCTAACATGAATCCTTGGAACCTTTTCCTTCAGTGTCCAACGGTCCTCCCAGCGGCCACCTGGACAAGAAGCCCTTCGAGTCCCTGCGAGACGCGGCCACACCCGACCTGAAGTCCGGCAAAGCCAGCGATGTCATCTGCATCGAGGACTGAGACGCTTTCTCTCTCCTTTTGGTTTTCATTTGCAGACGTATTGAATCTGAAGAATTGCACTTTTACCTTTGCAGAGGTTTTTTTAACTTGATATATTTAACTGAAAAACCTCCGACAAGATGTCAGGACTGAGGTAAAATGTGACTTTGTCCTCTCTTGTTTTTTTTTTTCCAGTGGACATTTGAATGCAGTTTTCCTTCATGTGTTGTTGTCATTCATGTCGTGTTGATTCTTTTTGAAAGCCTCTTCATGGATGCAGTAAATGCCTGAAAGTGCGCCACCGGCTGGTCGCGACGGTCTTTACCTCACGTGGATGGTCTCATTGGTGACACCTGCAGGACTCTAGATGCGTTGCAGCGTGTTTTGTGAGTTCGATACTTGTGATGGTTTCGGTTTTGAATGTTGGCAGCACTCTAAAGACGGGGGTGGGCAACCGAGGGCTGCGGGCCATATGTGGGCCCTTGTCGGAACTGATTGATTTGCCTTGGTTTGTGGGACTGCTATTCTGTGAGTGAAGGATTTTCCTTGATATTTATATTGATTCCCCAACACAAAAGATGCCTTTTCTTTTTGCTTTGACCGTTTTTAAGACTGCGATGGGACCATCAATGCCGTTTTGTCCTCAGTCCTCCGTGAAGATTTTTGTTTGTGGTTTTGTTTCAAATCATGAATGCTGTCTGCTTTCTATGCTTGAAACCCTAACTGGCAACCCCGTCTTGAAATACTAATTTGGAAGCCGGCTGGTTTTAAGACAGAGATGGGACCATCAGAGCTCAGTTTGTCCACAGTCCCGGTTTTGTCAAATCCAGAAAGCTTTCTGTTTTCTAAACCCTAACCTAATTCCCGTATAAGCTCAAGCGTGGCTTTAGTCATCTTCAGTCATTTGTGCGTTTTTGGGATTTGCTTCCCCTTAAAGACTGCAATGGCAGCATCAGTGCTTGCCTCCGTCCTCCACGATCATTTTATTATATATATTTTTCAGTTTAACCTGCAAACCCTAATTCTGTCTTGAACCCCTACATTCAAACCCTAACTCAGTTTTATGACAGCAGTGGGAAGTTTTTGGCTCATTCCTCCATGAGCACTTTCAAACTTTTGTGCTTTTTGTGTCAAATCATACATGCCCTCCATTTTAAAATCTGCAAACCCTACCACTGTCTTGAGGAAACCCGTGCCCCGTACGAAACACTAACCCGGGTGGTTTTAAGACCACGATTAACATGGGCTCCAATTTCCATAGACTCACGATGTTACGGTTTAGCTCCACAATGCGTAAGATGTGGTATGTAAGAATTGAAATCATGTCCACTGTGAGATGATTGCGGTGGAACGTCCAGTCAGGTGACCATCTGCCATCATTGTCCTGATATGGAAGCGCAAGAAATCCAGAATCCCCCTCGCCAGCATATTATTTATTTCATTAAACTGTATTTGTAATTTTTTTTATGCACTATTTATTGTTTTTGTTGTCGCAAATGACTCGCTTTGCAGACAAAACCTCAGAAATGTGTAAATAAAGCGTCTAAATTGAATTAAAAAAAAAACTGAATGTCCGCCGCGGCGTGACCTTGAGGGGACGTCAGCGACAACCTATTCTGATCACATGCAATCAAACTGGAGTCGATGAATGTACTGTCTACTAAAAACAAACAAACCAAGACTTCAGTCTAATGTTATAAATTTTGCGTATGTACATGCTTCTAATGAACATGGCTTCAAAAGCTCAAAAAAATTAAAAGACCATGACGAGGCACCTTTGGTTGCAGTGAATGCACAGCTTCTGAAGCTTTTTCTATGGCGGTTCACTTTGGGGCTCGTGGGGCGTCCCAAGACGCACACGCAGGTTCTTCTTCGGACTTGTGCTGTCAAGCGACTGGACGACCAAGTGAACGGTCATCTTTTGATTTGTACTGTGGATTTGTTTCATTGTGTTTTAATAAATCTTCCGATGACACTTTTGTGTTTCCTGTTGGCTTCACGATCTGAGGAAAATAGCACATTCCATTCAATTAGATGAGTAGTTGTACTACTGCTGCAGTGAGAAATTTGTGAAAATTCCCAAAGGAACTTGTGGTCAAGGTGTTTTGTGAGCTTTTGGGGAGAACATCCATCCACCCATCCATTATCCGAAAAAATTGTGACCATTTATAATAATAAAAATAATGAAAGTATTTATTTTTGATGCTAATTATAATACCGTTACTGCCAAAATTATGACGTGTGCTGCTAATTATACTAGGCACAAGTGTAATTTATTAATTTCTGTTATTTTGTGTGTGTGTATAAAATATGCATATAAAAATACCTTGACTGTACAATAAGTGATGCGAAACCCGGAAGTGGCCAACGAGTCAGATTGGCCATGATTCCCTTCCACCCGCATACTTTACCCCACAACCTCTATCGTGATTGGTCCAAACTCCCCCTCTGACGCCTCCCATTGGTCACTTGCGAGCCTTCGGCCTGCCTCGCCATTGGCCCGTGTCGCGTGAGAGCTCTCTCTGGGTCGCGGAGCTTTTGTGAGGCTGTCTGGGCAACAGCAACGAGGGGTCGCGGGACGGTGGGAGGAGGGAGAAAAAGCGAAGAAAGGACTGAAAGGGATGGAACCTGGGTGGGGGGAAGCACCGCTGAAAAGGGGGAGATGGTTTAGCAGAACGCGGCGCGACGACGCAGAAGCGTAGCCGGCTAGCGAAGGTGGCGTCCGAGCGTGGAGAACTTGCCAACCGCAAACGAAACGAGGAGCCTCCAATGATGAAAACTGACATTTTGAGGGGACTTGACCTGGATTAAAGCAAGCAAGAGGACGTAGAGGTGAGGCTTTCTTATTGTTATTTTTTATTTTATTTTTTTTACTTTGTATTTTTTTAGAGGCAGCTTTGTTCAAGGAAGGGGGGAATCATTGATGGGGAGGGAATAGTGCTGGCTGGTGGGTGCTTGGGGTCCAATGGCCTTGTTTTGGGGGTAACGTCCCATCGAGGAGGGGGACTCCCATGAAGGATGAGACTCATGGTGTCTGGACGCCTTACAACAAGGCCTGCACTCGTAGAGTCCTTTCTTGTCCATCCATTCATTTTCCTTCGGCGAGAGGCTAATCACAGGGCACAATTCTGAACCAAACGTGTCTGCCAAATACCCAGATTTGGCCAATTTCATATATATATTTACACGCACAGTTAAAAAAAACAAACTGAGTTTGTTGTTTGTACAAATTATGAAGCAATCAGGAGTATTGGGAATAGCAGTCTCTCTTTAAACATACAATGTTCAAGAACTCAAATATTGATGTTTAAAAATATATAATTTCCTGAAAAAAAATGATGATTCCATCCAAGCGCGATGACATGTGTCTGTCCAAGCTCTCTGCCGGGGAGAGAAGGGCTGTACACACTCTACAGGTACTTGTTGACTTCCAACCACAGGTCACATACAGTCCCCTACAAAATTATTGAAACGGCAAGGTCAGTTCCCTTGATGTTGAGACATTTGCGTTTCAGATAAAAAATAAATATGCCCGATGTTTGTGCAATAGCTGTGGTGGATTTTGCCTCTCAGCTTCAAAATGGTTTGCTTTTCTCTCTGGTCTTCATGTTTGCTTAACAGCAAATGCCTTTTTCACAGGTGAACCCAAAGCCAAAGACAAGCAATATCTAATGTTTGAGCAATCGGTCTAAAAGGCAATACCTGTGCAACAAAAAAAACACCCGGTCACATGTTCCAAAACTTTTGCTTCTTTGAAAAGTGTGTGCCTTCAAACAAAAGGTGCTCAATCCAGAGTTGTTTAACACATCTTGATATAAATACAGTACTGTACCACGAAATCAAAGCGGAAATCCTCACTTTTTGCCTCATGTTCATCTTCTGAACTGAAAACCAAATGTCTTCAGTGTACAACAAAAACTAAGGAATTGAGAGCCTCATCTTTGGAGATGGATGTCACACTGTGTCTTTGGGAGTCCCTGGCCTGGAAGTTTAAGGGGAAGAAGCAGAATCCCGATTTACATTTCCTCCATCTTACGGAGGGGGGGGTGCGCTGGCTCACTGTATCACATTGTTGTCTTCTTAGTCACAGCCCAATCCATTCACGCACCCCCGGAAGCCCGCACTTGCACAGGCCTCCATTGATGGGCTTGAAGGTTCGCTTGACAACAGCGCCGAGCTGGCAAATATTGCCCAACGGTTGTGGGTGCACTCCACACAACAAGGGAAGGCAAAATTTAGCGTTTGGGAGACTTCCTGGAGGGTGGCGAGAGTGTGTGTACAGGATTTTTTTTTTTGGCAGTTTGTCCCACCTGTGTTGAATGTGCTTCTTCTTTCACTTCATAGTCATGCAAACATGCCTGTACGGAGCGTGTGTAGTCAACTAGGAACAGACAAATGGGTTCATTTGAAGAAAGACTTCAAAAAGTCTTTCTTGGATTAAAAAAAAAAAAAGTGAGGCAATATGAGTCTAGTCTGACTTTTTTGAATCTGAATTATTCTCTGGTGTAAAACTAAACACAAAACAACAAATGCTAAAGGCTAGATTATTGTAAAGTAGTCATACTGCCAATATACTACTACTACTCATGATAAGGATAATAATAAATGACAGTTTTTATTAAATGTATAAACATTGAAGTTCCTCTTGACCTGCTCACTGCTTAAAATGCCTTGCGATAACCTGTGTTGCAAATTGGCGCGATATACACTGGCTAAAATGGACTCGACTTCATAAGTGAGGGGGCGGGGCTAAGCCGTCAAGGTGAAACTAGTGTTGGTCATAAAGGGCGCCATAAATCCAACCCTTTAAAACAAACAAAGTCTGGACAGAAACTCAAGTGCTTACAATTTTGTCGCATCCAGTTGTTTCGATTCCTATGGCACAAGTTGACAAGATGAATACAGTCCTTGTGTGTGTGGCCGACACATTCAGCACATCCTTGGCTTGCCACAAGAGAGGCACTGCTATGGGTGCAGTGCGCCATTGTTCTGAGAGCACAGATGGGTGACCTTGTCTTGAATGTGACAGCAGCAGCAGCAGCAGCAGCAATGCTGCAGCTCCCCTCCAACACATCCATCCATTGCATTAGTCAAGTTATTAGCAAGGCCGCATTGCCAGCATGCAGCAAGGCAGGTGAAAAAAAACAAAACACACACTGATGGCAGGCGCCCAATTTCGACTCCCTGGGAGAATGATCGCTTTTTGTCCCACCAAACACTGACTCGCGACAAAATAATGGAATTCTTCGCTATTGGCAAAGAATGGAAAAAAAAAACGTGAGTAATTGACTGCCATTCTAAACATGTGATTGTTAAGTTTGCACGCGTGATGTCACGTAAATTTATGCTCACCTATTATTTCGGCTTGTTTGCTCGCTAATACAATGGGCGTGCCTCATGTGAAGTTGCTTTGCTGTGTTGAATTAGCATTTATTTATGATTGTGTGCATCTTCGAAGCTCGGTGTTGATGCTTTATGATCTTCCTCATTTGAAGTGTTTTGCTGCCACCTTGTGGCATCAATATGCAATTACAAACCTGCAGCTTCATTTCAGACTTTTTTTTTTTTTTTTACATTTAATGGTTACTCCATGTGTAATAGATGACCAGCATTTGGTGTGCTATGAAATACTTTTCAGATGGCAATGACGCAAGTGAAGCGTGTGACGCTCCCTTTCCTACTGGTGGCAAATATTCTGGGATGACTCTGTCTCTCCTGTTGCATGTCGGTGCCGTTTTTAATGAACAGCCTGCCAGGAAAAAAAAGGCATAAAAATACAGGTGTCATTGCATCTCTTGTTGAAACTATTCATGTTGAAGCAGATTCCCCCCCCCAAACACAGCAAAAACCTTGTCATTTGCATGCCAGACCAGTAGTTGGTGCTGTCTTTATGTACCAAAGGACTGCAAACACGCAGGTCGGATCGTGCGTGTAGATTAAAAAAAAAAAAAAAAAGTAAAAAAAAAAAAAAAACCCCGAAAAAACACGATGTACTGTCAGCAAGTCACGGGACACGTTCGTCCAGAAGCGGACACGTTTCCATGACATATGATGTCATGCCTTGTTCAGCCCTCTGGCCCTTTCAATTTCTTTCTTTCACGGGCTCTCTCAGCGTTTGTTTTCTGTGGACCAAAGGCGTATCCTACTTTGTTTATCCTGTGCTATGATATTCCAAAAGAATTCAAATTACTCCGAAGTCAACATATGCTCATCGTAGTGAGTCATGGTTTATGATGCAACGGGCCTTGTGTGTGTGTGTTTTTTATTTATTTTATTTTTTTCTCTCCATGAGCTCCGACTGCCTCACACTCAGGTTGTTGAGGTTTGGACAGCCAGCCGAAGACATTTTGGGTCTGTCCTCAAGGACTTCGCTCGGCGTTTAAGATAGCTGAATGATCATTTCAGGATAGGAAGTCTTTTTAGACAAGCGGAAGGAAACGCAGCGGAATCGTCAGCTCCTGGCACCCATTTGGGGCCCTCGTCTACTGAGTCTTATGCAATTGTTTGTCCCGAGGAAAGTCCAAAAAGTTGCATTTCCTTGTCTGTGACTTTCTCTTATACCTTGCTAATGATTTGTTCAGTGCCGTCATTTGTTCACTTACAGGACTTTTACGGCCACTTGCTGCACTCTTGCTTTTTTTTTTTGTGCCTCTTGTGGCAGATTTACAGCTGTTTGTGAAGTCTTAAGTGCTCCTCATTTCAAGTGGGGCCAGCGAAAACGGCTTCAGTTTGCTGATTTCGACCTGGCTTGTGTTGCTGCCGGGAATGGCATTGTTGCATTCCAGCGGCACGAACCTAAGACAACCATGAGCTCAGCATGCCTATGCACGAGAAGAGAACCCTTCGGTCCATTTGGCAATCAAACTACAAAATACGTTTTCATACTTCCAGCAGTATTATTTGTACAATTTTATTTCTGCAACATTTAACGTACATTTGCAATCATTTGCGGGGGGTCTGCACCTGAAATAAAAATGAAAAATATGGGTACTGTGAACCGAGCCCTGCCCCGAATAGCAAAAATCCATGCAATAATCCTAAAAGGCTTGTAATTATCAATTAATGCCACCTGATGTCGCCAAAGCACTATTTCTTGATATTGGATCACAAATGCGATGCGGAGGTTCACAATATAAGGACGTATTTTGGGGTCTTCGGTCTTCTCCTTCTGTCTTCTTCAGATTTTCGGGCCCCAGCATGCATGCCATTGCGCGAACCACATTTAACTGTCAAATTTTCAAAGGTACATAATACCTGCATTACTATTCAACTAAGCTTGCGAGTTAATCGCGCTCATTTGCATTTCAAACACAACTTTTAAACGTGCAGCCGAGGGGATTTGTAAGAGTTCAGTTTAGCTCAAATTGACGAAGCGTCATATCACAGCAGGACACTTTATGTAAGAGCACGTCACAGTCTCCCGCGGCACCTCATGTACGGCGTTACATTTCAAGAGATCGAACAAATCCCGTGTGAGGCCTGTCAGTATCAACTTCCCCGGAAGAAACCTTGAATATTTTACTTTCTCTTTTTCATTTATTATGTTGGGTGATAAAGAACAAGGAAGCTAGAAAATCATCTTGCAGCATGAAAATCTGGATCATGTCACGTTTGTCATCTTCGGTCGGTCTGTCCGGTTGTTTTTCCATCCAGCCGCCCGTCCGCCACACCCCGCGCCATCAAGTATGTGCCGCATAGCACAAGCAAACGCTAATCTGTGCGTCCCCCAAAAAAATTCAATGCAGCTCGGCTTATTTGATGACTTGGCGGATTTGGGTGCTTCTGCATAGTCTGGCCATCCCCCCGAAAGTGGCTCTGGATCTTCAGGTCACGGGTGGAGAAACTTGGTGTAGGGTAGGTATCATGCAAATTTGATTCGACACACAGGCGCTGTTGCAGAAATCAGCAGAGGGCAAAAGATGTCCTTGCTTGTCTAATTTCACATTTGAGGCATGCGCTGGCGCTCCAGAGACGCAACGATGCTTGTATGCAAATAGTCAGCCACAAAGTTTTGTTCAGCGACGTGACTTGTTGGACCAGGTCACTTGGCAGCATCAATCCACTTTGCTCAACATTGGGAGGACGTTTACTTCATTTTCCAAGAGTCGTATGTAGGTCAGGGGATGGGTGTGTAGAAGTCAGTTTCATCTCCATTCTGTCATCTGATCCCCCCCGCCCCCAAAGATGAAGAATAGCTTTTTACTCTGTTCACTCCCGAAACTGTTTGTTTTGTCCAAGCTGGAGTCCTTTTATGACTCCCACTAAAGCCTTTCATCTCCCAAAAACCTGCACGGATTCACCTGTCAGCTTGATACTTCAAGCCTAGCCTTAGAAACTCTCCAAGGACTATGCCAGCTTGAGCGTGGATCAATTTTAACACACCTATTTTATTTATTTATTTATTTTTGCGCGTCAAGTGCAGATTAAAACGTTTCTATCTGCCGTCCATCCTTCCATTTTCAACACCGCTTATCCTGAACAGTTGCTGCAGCCTATCCCAGCTGACTACGGGCGAAAGGCGTACTACACCCTGAACTGGCCTGTCGCAGGGCACACCACGAGAAACTGATACGCCTAAATCATTTATGTAACTGCCTGTATAATAGATTAAACCATCAGTAAACCACAATCTATGATCACTTCTGTGCTTTGTTGCCATCTATTGACAATTGTAGACAATAGCAATTATCAGAATCAGATTTATTGGCCAAGTATGTAAACACCACAAGGAACACACAAGGAATTGACTTTCTGCGTTACAACCCGTCCAGAGGGAAAAAAATCCAAATAAATGCCACTTCCCTAACATTTCAAGAGTTAGGGGCAATGACAAGGTAACTCAATTCGATGTGAAAATGAAACGTAAGAAGATACGGTGGAAGGAAGAGACAAACCATGCATCTTAATGACTTCATTCTGGACACAGTTTCCTAACAATTGTCTTTTTTTTTCTGTGCACTTTAAAAAATAAAAATAAACAGTGTGTGGACAAAAAGGCCATCGACAAATATACGTTTGTAAAAATAAGCCTGACCTGGACTGGAAGGCACCAGCCGTTTTGTTGATATGTGAACATATCCATTATGGCTGTCACAGCGCAGGCACATTCCACTGCAGGCTGAGGCGGTTCACCTCGGCACACGCATCCAGAAATTAGTCAGCAAGGCTCAGGCGTGAGGACACGTCGGAGCTCGTTGTCAAAAGCCAAAACTCGTGGATTGTGTACATCAGAGCTGGAAGCAGTCGCGCGGTGACGCGGTTATGACTCTTGAAGGGAAGGGCTGTGATGGAAATCTTTGTGTTTTGAAGTCACATGGGATCGGACGATGTGGAGTCTTCAACAGAGTTGAAAAGATTTCATATTTCAGCAATCTTTGATTCCCTATAAGAGCATTTACAGCTCAAAATCATCTGCGGGAAATAGAAATATTGGAATGAAACTTCCGAGAGGGAGTATCCAGTATAAATAAAATAGTAAGTCTCAACACAGACCCTTGTGGAACACCACGTGGTGTCGCGCTAAACTCAGACATTTTGTGCCACTACACGAAAATATGGTGAACCAGGCTAAAACCCAGACAGTGTCCCTGACCTGTAAAATACACTGCAGGATATTATTTTAATCTCAGAGAGAAAACTGTTGCTCAAGAGCTTCTGGTCAGTGTTCAGCAACATACTCGCATATCTACCTGCAACCACTTTCCATATTTGTCATAGAATATTTTGTCAGAATTAAAATCTTCCATCCTCCAGTCCCCACCTCAAAAGTTGGTTCTGCTTTTATTTTCGACTCTCCTTTCAGCCGTTCTGCCACCAAGAGGAAGTGGTATCATACTACTTTCACACGAGTGGCGTCCAAGCACAGAGCTGTCAGCCTCGGCCCAAATGACCCGCGAGCTAATGAGTAGCGCGGTGACGAATCCAGAAACAATGCTTTTCTGCAGGCCCGCCCGACGTTTTCTCCCCACAGAAGGGTCATTGTTGCTGGCTGGGGGTAGCGAGTGGGCCGGCTGGAGAAACTTGGGGGGTGACACGAGCCGTGGAATGTCCTCTGCTTGTAAACGGAAACCATTTCTGAAGCCAATTTCACTCTTTGCTTCGCTGGGGTTCATTTGATTAAAAAAAAAAAAAATTACAGCCACACACGGCTGGCGATTCCGACTTCAAAGTGGCTCCGCAGAACTCTAAACAGCATCGTCAAAAAGCAGCAGTGGAACGTTACGAGCGCCGTAATGAGATCGTGACGGACATTTAGATAAAGCAATAAGTGCTGACGACATTGGTTTCTTTTTGCAATCAAGACACGTCCGTGTGCCCCGTAGCAAGCAGCCAAAGAATGCTGGTGAACGGGAGGCGGCTCGGCGCTGATTAAAATGCAAAGCAGATGCGATGGTCTCACTGGGCGCTACGCTAACACGAGCAGAGAGGTTGTCGCATAACATCACATTTTGTAGCGCGGAGAAACAATTAGCGTGGTTATTAAAACTGTAAACCGCGCTCTCGACTTACCAAAAGTAAAATTTAACCACGGGGCCCTTTTAATAGTCAGGAATTGTTCTGCTTTGTTGAAGGAACAACGTGATTCAATTGTCAATGGGGTCAATGGTCCATTGTACTTTAGCACCTCATAAACCGGGACTTTTTAGTTAACCCTCCCGTTATGTGGCGAGCAAAATGGATCCCTTCCTGAGTTTAAAAATGAAAGAGAAAATTTGAGAGACAAAAAAATGTATTGGGTTGACCATGAAGATTTTTGGTGTACCAAAAACAAAATAACTGAGGGTTTGAATCGCAAGTCTAGTCCCGGAAAATTGCCCCATATAACAATGAAGCCGTTTTACCCTCTCAGGAAGTCATGATTCCCTTGGACCGATGGCACTGTCAGGGCACTCACACTGTCATTAGTGTCTGTGGGGACGTCTTAATTAATCCGCCTGTAAGCTGCCTCAGAGCTTTTGATTCAGCTAACAGACTTGCTAACCACCACATGTCACACCATTCTTGCTCATTTTGCAGTCTTGCGCTGCACTGCTTCTTCGTTTCGTTTAGAAGATTTACTTTGCCCAAAATGTCCGTGTCAACAACCTGCTTGCTGTTGGGCAATGTTTTTAATAGGCCTTTTTATCTGAAAGGCATTTTATATGCTTTTGTTAAGAAGCTTAGGACATTCCGGTCCCTGCAATCTGTCTGCCTCGGTCTCTCTCTCCAGTCGACTCTTATCACAGAATGATGGAAATAACGGTTTTCTTCCTGTTGGTGTTTTTGGTGGTTTTGTTGCTCGGAATGCTGAGGGCTCAGTGAAAATCTGCTCTTCGATGGTCGGCAGTGACTCAGCGAGGTTGCGTTAGAATATTCATAGATTTGCATCACCGTTAATTGTGGAATTTGGATGAGGCTTGCAGAGGAATGCAACGTGTCGGTTTTCTGCAGAGTCGTATTTAAAGGCAGAGCTACCGTGACTTTGCTCCAACCAATGAAGCGTCCGCCACCAAACCGCATGTTTCTCCTCCGCAGAACGCGGAATTGCATGCATGCAAAACCCCGCAAAATGTACCTGACTGAGAGTACAGAAATATTGAACGTGCCCTGGTCTTCCTTGTATGGCAACAAATATTTGACTGATGCGTTGTTCTCGAAGGATGCTAAATATGGTCGGAACAATCATTAAAATTTCACAACGACAAAACCCATCGTGGACTTTTACGCTGTGCTCTTTTGTAAAATTTCAAAATGTAAGCAATTAAAATCAGATGAGAAAGTCACATTGAGGTTCCAAGGAGAGTGGAACATTTACAGTGGCTTAAATAATACAATATAAACACGCTGAATATGAAAGCATTGAAACTCATCGGATTTTGTTATGAATATACAGGGCCAATGCCATTTCTGACAGGGACTGCAAAACATAGCAGAGGGTGGCCACCACCTGAAAAAAAAAATGTAGCAATTTGTAACGAGAAAGGCCCTGGTGAGAATTGAACTCACGACCCCTGGTTTACTAGACCAGTGCTCTAACCACTGAGCTACAAGGCCCCTTGACTTCAAATAGACCCACTGTTAGTGTCAGAACCTTGCGATGGGAATGTCAAAGTGAACCCAAAACTTTTCTTGACACTAATATGTTCTATGCGCCTCTACTAGTCTAAACACAGCATTCTGATTAATAATGCGTTTGTGAAATATGACTTTCTGTCCATCTCAAGCGGCGGCCATTTTGCCACTTAGTGCAAAGGACATCACAGTTTCTCAGGGCTCAGTTAACAACCAATCACGGTTGACCTGTTTTCTGAAACTGAGCCATGATTGGGGGCTCCGTGGACTTTGTTATTGTTGGGGCCACTTCCCCTTTCAAGTATTATGACTTGTTTTTGTTGCAGTATTCTTTTATTTGGCTGACCATCGTCATGACGGCTTCTAATATTTGCTCTTTCTCCATGTGTGCAACTCCTTTAGGAGCCATGTCCGCCGCCTTGTCTCAGCAACTGCCAAAGCAGGACAAGGAGGTGGCGGAGGAGGAAGAGGATGAGGAGCAAGGCGAGGAGTTTGTCTTTGACGACAGCGAGGACGAGCGGGGGCCTCGAGGGGTGGCCGGCGACTCGCTTCAATTGTCAAATCCGGAAGTCCCACAGACGTGCGAGGACGCGTCGCAGGCTGTCAAAGACGTCACGCCACAGGAAGGAAGCGCCAGCCAGGATGGTGAGGCATTCCTTGCCAGCATATCGGATTCTGCATTTGAAGTCTCGGGGTCGGCTGTGGTTCTGAAATAGATTTGCGTGGATGACAAGAACGCACATTTTTTCACTCCTAATCGATCTAAGTTGGACTTTGGTGACGCAAAGGGGAACTGGATTGAAGTATAGTGGGGGGCCTGTTATGTAAGAATGAGTAAGTACTTTCCCTCCCTCTCCAAATGACCCACGTTGAGACATCGGGGCGCATGACACGAGTTTAACCCGTCGTTAGGTTTGTCAGATGCAGTCAAGTCATCGAAACGAGCGCACAGCTGTGCACACATCCTCTTTCCCCTTGACCACTCTGCTCCAAATAAGCCCGCCGGTCTTCTGCGATCACTTGGCGACACCAAACACCTCTCATGTTATTATGACATGGCCAGTGTGTTTCGGGAAAGAGACTCAACGAGATCCATAGAATAGAAGAGGGTTTTTTTTTTTCACGCCTCATAGGAAGACCAGTGCGCTAACCACTGAGCTACGAGGCCTGTTAAACCATTCCGAGCAAAGCCTGTCACCTTCAAAAGAGCAAATCAATCTGCTCCCGGATGATGGCGAATTGCTGACCGAAACGATCACAGTAGTGAGTTTTCGGTCTTTGAGACACCAAAAACGGATGTAAGAAGACCGAACCTCCAAGCAGTAATTACCACTCCTCTGCAATTTATTAAGTCACTTCTTGCAGCTCTTATAAGGTGAAAGAAGTCGATGCGAATTGAATTGACGGCCGCCGTCTATCTCAAGCGGGGCTCTAACCACTGAGCTACAAGGCCTGCTGGCTTTGACAACATGACTTTCAAAAGAGCAAATTTCTGTTCTGTTTACCACAGCAGCAAAAAAAACAAAACAAAACGTAAATCCCATGAAAGTGATGTATTTCCTCACAGCAAACTGAGTTGACACAAATCCTGGTTTACAAGACCAGTGCTCAAATCACTTTTCACCATACATCCTCTTCTGTGGTTCACGTCTTTTTGAGTGCCACAAGCTCATAAATGTGCTCACTACAGTATTCAGGAGAGTAAATTTCCAAACAATAAATAGCCATCATTTGCCATTTATTCGTGAAATCGTTTCATCCTACGTATGACTAGACCAAGGCTCTTACCGCCGATCTACAAGGCCATCTGCTTGGGTCAATATGACTTTCAAAACAGCAAATTAATCTGGTTGCGCCCTACATTTTTTCCAAATTACGATTAGCGTGACCAACATGAACAACAGTAAGCAGTTTTATCACAGCAGGAAGCAAAATGAATTTTCGTGCATGCAAGGCCCGACCAAATTGACTGGAAATGATGTATGGGAAAGTTTGGTCCCCCGTGACAGACTTTCTTTCACCGCAGTGATCTTTATGCACCTGAATCATCTTGAGTTAATGTTCCATCTGCAGCCTTATAAAAATCATAATACACACTTGTCCTCTTTGTCCATGCAAAGCTGTTATCAGGGTTTCCTTGCACGACATTTATCTCGTTTTGTACGTAGGCTTACGGCACCGCAAGGCCTCGCTGAGAATCGGACTTACAACCCTTGCAGGAGCTGGTTGGCCGCCAGTCGCAGGGCACATTTTGACAAACAACCATTCGCGCTCACATTCACACCTAGGAACAATTTGGAGTGCCCAATCAACCTGCCATGCATATTTTTGGAATGTGGAAACCGGAGTACCCGGAGAAAACCCACGCAGGCATGAGGAGAACATGCAAAGTCCATACAGGAAGGCCGGCGCCGAAATCGACCCGACGACCTTTGCACTTGGAGGGCGACATGCTAAGACGCCGACCACCGTGCCGCCCCTTCTCTCTCCTCTTTTTCTCAAACAAAGCTTCAATTTCATCAAGTCCCCTTTTTAAATATCATTTTCCCCTGCTTAGAAAATAATGTGTCTTTGTTTTCCTTTTTTTGACAGACGTTCAAGCCGCTCATTCAGCCAGCGGGTAAGTTGCTCTCGCAGCAGAAACAATTAGTAACATTTAGTCGACATGTATGGAGATGTCACTTCCACGCCGCAGCATTTACGAGATAGCGACGTGTGTTTGCGACACGTCCATGCCAGATGGCGGCCACCTTGGGTGGAAAGTGACAGTAAGGACACCGGAGAGGGAAATCACTGCATGACTTCGTCTTTAAATATGAGTTGAGATGACAAGGACACCAGCATGTTGGCGTGGCTGCGGGTTTGCGATTTGTTTTTTTCCCATGCTGCATATTGCGTCTGTTTAAACCTGTTTTCCCAAAAGGTGGGCTTCTAGGAAGTGTGCTCAGAAACCTTTAGTCTTGTAGACTGGATTCCTGTGGACTTTCCCGTGCTCGGAAAAATGGCCCAGGTGTGAGTCTTTTTGGGTGTAGTCTTGTTTCCTAGATTGGCGGCAGCTACTTTTTGGCCAGAGTGTTTTGAAAATGTAAGTCTAAATGTACCCATGTTGCATCTGTGCAGTATATAAATTATGAAAATTGTAATTGAGAACGACTGTATATAGCACTCACTTTTCCAGAATTTTTATCAGGCGTGAATAAAACAGCGGCCAGTGACACACTTTGGCATTACACACGAGTCCCCCCTGACCCCTTTATTAAAACTGAAGCTGGTATGTTGTTTGTTTTTAACTATGCAAAATATTTATGTCACGTCACCCAGAATAAACGGCTCTGGAGCCTGTTCCTATTTAATGCAACGTGTTCTCCTGGTGGCCCAACAACATTAGCGATAGCATTGGAAGCGTTGGAGGTGACGTTAAAAAAAAAAAAAAAACAAACACTGACATTTATGACGCAACAGATACGGCTTCAATTTAGAATGCTAGTGTCTTATTTTCACATGCCAAACGAGGATAATGTGTTGGAAGCGTGCTTTCCACAGTGTTTGCTTGCGTGTCGTAATCCACTCACGTTTTTTTGCCCCATTTTGTGTTTATTTGTGCCGCTTCATTTGCTTAGCACTTGGAAATCCCCACAGCAAATCTACTTCCTGTTTACATTCTTGTGACAAATAAGAGTGAGGTCACAGGATTTGTTTTGTGACATATTTTGGGGCTTTGGAATTTTACGAAGCAACGAGTGAACTAGATAGGAAACGGACGTTGTTTGCAAACATTCTGCTGATTCAGACTACAGAAAACACCTCATATTACTTTTTTTTTCTCCTAAGGAAAGTTAATTTGTTTTCTTCAGTTTACAGTTTCCTAAGGCCAAAAATTACGTGGCGAGTAGCAGATTTCATATCTTTATAGTCATGGTAGCTTTGTTTGGGACCTTGAAAGAGGCGTGGCATTTATTTGTGTGGAGACCTACATTTGGGAGCCCACAAGATTAAATCAAGTTAGTGGTATGATTAGGATTAAATAATTGAGCATAACATGCAGAATACATGTGCTGAGTAAATGTTTGCGCTTCACAATTAAATCAACACAAGCCCCGGTAAATGCGTGCGTGTGGGCGTGTGTGCCAGGAGTCACAAAAAGGTCCTGGCTATTTCTCATGCCGGATAATTTGTGCTGAGTCCACAATTTCCACTTTGCCACAGTCACTCTGTTCTTAAAACGGCAAGCTATCAATAGCAACTTCCCACCGTCGAGATGTCAAGCGTGTCAGCACATTTTGGAAAAATATCGCCGAGATTACTTTGCTATTGTTATTGTCGATATACTTCTTCTTTTTATAGCCGTAATTAAACAGAAGGCAGCTCTTCTCCCTTTCCTTAAGGCCAACATTTACTTTTGTCTCCTCTTTTTACCCGGTGACAGATAGTCTTCATTAAGCTCTCAAAAAGGCAACCATGACAACTTGAGTGTGTATGCGGAATGTAGTGTGACTTTGCTTTTCAGCACTTTAGCTCCTCCTCTGCCCTTTTTCAAGTTCGCGCCCCTTCGAGAAGCTCATTTCAAGTGCGTTTATCTTTCATATGAAGCCCTCCCGTCACCTCGGCTGGATATTTGCTGCACAAGCAAAAGAATTCAGTGGGTGTGGTAAAGAAGCAAATATGCAGAATGAGAAAATGGACAATAACGATTCCTTTTTATGTTTCTACATAAAGTACATTTCAGTCTTGACTCGTTTACTTTCACTCAAGCAAAGGAGTTGTATCAGTTCATCGACATTTTCCAGAGACATTTTTTACACAGGTTACGAGACTTCGGCTTAAAGGGGGACTGAACAATGTAAAATTGTTAGCAAGATTTGAATGTAGCCTCAGTTCACTGATCCTTCGCCCCTTCAAGTGTCTGACCAAAGCAGACAACTCATTAACGTGCAGAAGTGGTCACAGAGAACACGTATGCAGCTTCAACAAAATGGCAGTGCTACCAAAACTAAGCTAGCATTAGCACTGTAAACAAGCCAACGCTAGTCGCAGCTGCCATGCTGATAGCATGACATATTTGAACGTAGCTGTACAAAAACAATAAATGTTATCATTTTTAAGTTTTTTTTTATTTTTTTATGTACAATCATGTAAAAATCAAAACGAGGTGCCAAACCAACACGACGTCAAGCAGAGCTGTTGTTAATTCACTTCAATACAGAATCCACGGAGGTCCCTTGGCTCTCCTCCTCTTTGTCAGTCTTATGTTGAGTTGTTGGCAAACGAGGGATGGAATTCTTTTTTTTAAAATTTTTTTTTTAGAGATGGGTATTACGCCAAGGTTTCAGCAAAGTTAATGAGACCTATATGATCAATACCTCCAGTCATGCCTTCTGTCACAGATCATATTTATCAAGTGCTACTCTCAAGTCATAATGAGAGTATTAACAAATATGACAAATAGTGATTTTTGTGTGTGCGTGTGCGTGTGCGTGTGCGTGTGTGTGTGTGTGTGTGTGTGTGTGTGTGTGTGTGTGTGTGTGTGTGTGTGTTTAATATGGACTTCCTGTTTAAGGACAGAATGTGAGTACTTTTGCCACATCTGTTACCACTGCATTGCGGGATTAGTTCAAAGGGAGGAGATGTCAATCACTATCAGGCCTGAAAAAAGTGCAGCTCTCCCTGCCGGAGGCCAGGGGGCAGCACAGGAGGAAGGGCGGCGTGCTGAATAAAATCAGATGGAAGTCCGAGGGGATTTGGCTTGCCCTTTTTGCCTGCGCTCCGCCCCGGTGTTATTAGCATTGGAAGGATTCCCACGCCTGCTCTTTGAGCTCACCGCTCTGCAGACAGTTTGACTTTGAATAGATATTAAAATGGCTTGCGAGCATCATTTGTGGTATATTTATGGAATACTTATCGAGTCTGATAATTGGCAGAATAAAATTCTGATCACTGATTAATCGTCCAATTCATTACAATTCTATGTCTTGAATGAAAAAAAAAAGAATTGAATTGAATTGAATACAACTTCATTGTCAAATGTGCTGCATGTGTAACATACAGCACAGATGAAGTTTCTTCCCTCTCAACATAAAACAAGAAAAATGAAACTTCTTTTTTTTGGTCCCTTAATGCTGGCAACAACAAAGATAGGAATTACAGGCAGAACAGTTGCCTCATTTACAATATAATTACACTTTTTTTAGGGGGGGGGGCAATTAATTACTCATGGTTTTTCACCAGCAAGGCTGGGGATTACTGTACTGTTTAATAAGGCACCCGACGCTCCCTATTCACCTAACTGTGCTGATGTTGTGCCGCCTCACAGGGTCCGTGCAGCAGCCCAGCTAATAACGTTTGAGGGCGATTCAGGAGCCGGCGATGCGGAAACAGCAAAGGAAAGCTCTGAGGACATCCCTGAAGGTACGCAACGGAATGACTTTGACAACGGGAAGTATTGCCGGTGAAAGCCGCCGTAGATTAAGGCCAAGCTCGCCTCGGGATTTCGGCTCATTCCGATATTTGGATTGGATTTGCTAAACCGCCGCTCGGCTAGACTGCGGGCGACGTCGCAATGACACGGGCAGCGGGTGAGCCACATCCAAAGAGGCAGCAGCACCTTGGGTTCATCTCGCAATTTATTGATTTCTACAAAGAGAAATAGGCGGCGGCCTCTATGGAGCTACGTAATCCACTGCCACCACTTGATGCCGATACGGGCATGAGACCAGTCTGACGACTACAGGATGAGGATCAATAGGAAAACCTTTCAATGCAAGCAAACTGCAAAAAAAAAAAGTTGGCTGGGAGATGAGAAGCCAGCACCGACAGGGGAGGAATTCAATACAAATTGATATTTTTATGACCATCTAATTTGATTTCAGATTTTGTCACCAGTGTATGTACAATATTGCTCCTCTGTTGCCAGGATCGTACTAAAAATCAATCTTTTAAAGATCATTGTTGTATTTCTCCACCAGCCTCACATGAAGTTGAAGCTGACGTCATCTATGACGACGTCCCGTGCGAAGAGCCTCTCTCCCCTGATGAAGGTGTGTAAAAGATGTCCCGAGAGTCCACATTGGACCTTATGCGGGATGTTGGTTTGGACGATCTCTGTGCGTGTGTTCTGTAGATATGCTCTACGAGGACGTCCAGCGGGACTCCTGCGGTCCATCTGTTGCAGGCAACGGGTGGAGCTCCAGCGAGTTCGAGAGCTATGATGAGCAGTCGGATGGCGAGAGCAAAATGCCCACACGCAGCAAGGTAAAGACATCTCCACCCCATACAACGTCGATTGGTGAAACTAGTGTCAGGGGCTGATTTTTTTTCTACTTTCTAAGGTGAGTGGTATTTTTGGGGGGAGGTGGGGGCGGGGTTGTGTTCTGAACCCCTAAAAACCAACCATATGGTGAGTTTTTGGCTATTTAAAACATCTGCCGCAACTCGATCTACTCATCAGTACCTCTTTCATCCACTGGATGGCGCTGTGGGCACATCTCAGCATTGGGCCTGCCGTTTGTGTAATCCCTCTAAATATGAGCGAGTTACGCTGAGCCTAATAGACATTTTTTACCCACCTGCGGGCATGTGTTGTTATTCAAGGGAAGCTCAATTGATGGCAGCGCAAAGCGGGGAAGCAAAGCTTGATTTTATGTGGACACAGAAGCACTTGCTCAGGTAATTAGAGCACAGAGGCCGTTGGGAAAGGCTTTGCACTTTTCAGTCTGCCGAGCAAGAGGAGCAGACTACAAGTAGGAATGTCGCAGTAATTACTGAGGAAACATTAACTATTAGGTTTTGTCGTTCCAAAACACTTTGCCTTTCATTAGTTTCACCCGATTAACTTTTTTTCTGCTTTCTCAATGTGGAAGTTGGCAATTTTTTTATTGCATTTTTTTTCCACACTTGACCTTTTTGACTGCCAGCCGGTCTCATAAATCACACTCCCCGAAAAACAATAACTGCTCCATGCTTTCACTTCTTGTAATTATTCTGACTCGCGTTTTTGTGTAGCTTTGATCATTTGTCTCGCTGCCGCCCTCCCTCGCTCTCTTTTTTCCCATTGCCTCCCCATTGTTTTCCCTTAACGCTGGCTTCCTCCCCCCATGCTTCACCTGTAGCTGTCCCCCGAAGTGCGGCGGCTAAGAGAGCGCTGCGCCAGGACCAAGCGTGAGCTGGCTATGAAGCTGTCTGGCAAGCACAACTATGACATAAAGGTATCTCAAAAGTGTGTTTACATGTTTGCCAACAAGCTCAGCTGTCTCTCGGCCAAGTGTTAGTCATATGTGTAATGTTTTTAAAGGCACAATTATCTGAAAAGGCTAGTCCCTGAAAGTTAATACAGCCCAAAAAGTTGGGAACACATTACTTTTAAAATGTTTGGTACCACTCTTGCTAACTTGCTTAGCATAACCAGCTCTAATTAGTTACTTGTATTACAATTCCCTGAGCTACATAGGTCCTCCAAACCCATAGTGGGCAGCATATTACGAGTAAGCCGATATGAACAAACGAAAACTGTCATGTATTCAGCAGGAAGTCCACCCAAAAATTAGTTGATAATGGAACTGGGAGAACATCACCTCGTCAAGAAGAAAGCGGTATTGAAAGATAACACACGTTCACTACTTAGTAATCATTTGCTTTGAAGCTAACAAACTATATCTACAGTCGCACTCAATAGGTAGTCGCTAACTCTTTAATCCCACATTCATAGGTGCCCAATTTATCACAAAGTTGTGCTGTCGGAGGAATTAAATAAAAGCTTTGAGAGTAGCTGAAGTTTGATTAAATAATTAGCTGCTAGCTCTTTAAACTTCATAAGGGCAATGTTTTACCTGACAATTATGTATTGTATGAAGGAAAAACATGAGTGTGGAACTCGACTCGTTTTGACAGCCGACCTTTTCAAATATCTAGCAAACCAGCCAAAAATGTGACCAAAGAAGGAGCCGCTAGCATTTTATTTCCACATCCATAGAGTGAAGACTATAGTACATTAAAGTTAAGTTGTATAAAGAAGAACACCTTGAGGGCAACTAGGGGTGTGTTTCGGAAATTCACTCTGATGCCTTAACAGCACTCAGTGTGTGTGTGTTGGGACAGGCGGAGCGCGCCCCCTTCCTGAATTTCCAAATGCAGTTTTATTCTAAACCAATCAGCAGCTTGTGCTTGTACTCTGAGATTTCATAAGTTTGGCTAGCTCAGGGCAGAATACGGTGGAAAAAGTTGATGTCCAGCTATCCTAATTTCCTGAGCATGACAAGCTATACATAATGGCATGCACCAACATTTCACTATTCAAAGTGCCTTTGTCAGATGAGCTTAATTGCAAACAAGAATAGTTTGTTAAAATTAGCACCTGATCTGTAAAAGCTAGGTTTGTGCAAGCTGTTTGTACCATGAATGCTCGCTTGCTTAGCAATTGAAGTGTAAGTCTCTTTACCTTTTTTTTTTTTGTTTTTAGACCATGGTTATTTCGCTCTGATGTCAGTGTATCTATCATTTTCTTTAAAAAAAACAAACAAAAAATAACAACTAATCCTAACTTCAACACATATCTATAGCCTTCACTTAGCAACTGATGAAACACAGTCGGTATATGGGACTTGCCTACTCATGCTGTTGAACCTTTTAGATATGAAAGTTGCACCCTTGAATGTTTTTTTTTTTTTTTTTGTGCACGTTTAGTTCCCTAACCGCTAACATTCTTTCAATGAATGACCTACTTTCCCCGGCATCCCATCTAAAAATATGACAATGATGTGATGCGGCAGTGTATTCTGCGCCACACGCGGCGTCTGGTTACGGGGCTCAGGGGTGGACTTTGAGGACACATTCAGCCACAAACACAGCTCTCCCAGCGCCGCCATCATCTTGTTCACTTGTCTGATTAGGACTCTCGGGGAAGCCGCAGATGGCGAGATTCCCACCGTGATCGTGTCCTGTCAGTAGACTGTGGAGCCAATGACGGAGCTTTGATGCCCTCCTCCCCTTGCACCCTCAACTAGGTGCAGCAGCTTATGAAGGCAGCCAGAAGCAACACCAAGGATGGACTTGAAAAGACCAGAATGGCCGTCATGCGCAAAGTCTCCTTCCTTCACCGGAAAGACACCATTGGTAACCTACTCTAATGTCTTTATTTGATCTTTAGGCTAAGCTGTTTGGCTTTTGGTGGGGGGGCCTGTTAGCCTAACTGGGGCCCTGGGCTTCAACCTGCGCTTTGATCTGACACCACCATTTTTTCCGAGGAATCTTTAGTAACACTACAGGTCATGTCTTAAGTTTGAAAAGGTGGTTAATTTCCTAAAATGTTTCTTAGTTTATTAGATTGCACAGATACCCCTAATACATTGTGGACTGCAGGAGCTTTCGGTTCGGTCCAATGGTTATCCGTGTGTGCGTGTGCGTGTGTGTGTGTTTGCGTGCTCTTTGGGAACAGAGGAAGAGGACGATGCGGGCTATCTGGATGTGGTGATATCGGACGTGACTCATCCGCCGCCGCAGCTGAGCGCCATGCCGGAGGGCCTGACCAGCCACCAGGTTGTGATTTTTAAACTTCCATCCTCCACTTCCTTCCACTACACAATGATGTATGGTCACATCCATCTTATCCGCTCGGAGCGTCACCGTAGCCTGTTGTCTATGCAGGTTGTCAGGCGCCACATTCTCGGCTCCATCATCCAGAGCGAGCGCAGCTACCTGGAGTCCCTCCGGAGGATCCTGCAGGTGAGCAGAGGCCCTCTCCACGGCCTCATGCAACGGAAATGTGTCATGTGATTAATGGGATCGTTCCTCTCTCCACATATTCGTCTTTACTGCCACCTTGAACAGTAGAAATGAACAGCACTAAGACTAGATGTAATCCAGGAAGTAAAAAAACAACAACAACAAAAAAGACGCACCCATTCACCCAATGGCCACTTGCACCCGGTATTAATGCAATTTCTCCTCACTTGTTATTAATTATAATTGTCACCTTGCGCAATGGGAATGAAGAGAAAACTAGAAGTAATACACAGAATCAAATTTTAAAAAGTCCACGGCACACTCGATCACCCACGGGCACGTGCGCTCGTGTCCTACAACTAATGCAACCGCTCCTCTTGACAGTTATTCATTACAACCGCTGCCTTGCACAGTAGAAATCAAACAGAAGATGATCCCGTGACAGCTTTATGACCGATTGTTCGCGCGGGACAAACAAACAACAGAGCCAGATGGGACGCTTTGTGATGTGCAGCTTGGTGGAAAAATGTCCGTCTTAAAAAAACAACAACAACAAAAAAGACGCACCCATTCACCCAATGGCCACTTGCACCCGGTATTAATGCAATTTCTCCTCACTTGTTATTAATTATAATTGTCACCTTGCGCAATGGGAATGAAGAGAAAACTAGAAGTAATACACAGAATCAAATTTTAAAAAGTCCACGGCACACTCGATCACCCACGGGCACGTGCGCTCGTGTCCTACAACTAATGCAACCGCTCCTCTTGACAGTTATTCATTACAACCGCTGCCTTGCACAGTAGAAATCAAACAGAAGATGATCCCGTGACAGCTTTATGACCGATTGTTCGCGCGGGACAAACAAACAACAGAGCCAGATGGGACGCTTTGTGATGTGCAGCTTGGTGGAAAAATGTCCGTCTTGTCACAGCGGCCAGTCGAGTGGTAAAAGGTGGCGCGTCCACAAGCCCAATTAGACGCTGAAGGTTGTGACGTTCTTCACCGCTGGATGGATTTTTGTGTGTGTGTGTGTGTGTGTGTGTGTGTGTGTGTGTGTGTGTGTGTGTGTGTGTGTGTGTGTGTGTGATTGATTGCAGAAGAAAACAAAGAACAAAGAAAGGGTGCACTTTGGCTCCAGTAGCCCGGTACGCATTATGTCCACTTGAAGACATGTGCCAGGCACCTGCCTGGAAGCTTTATCAACATCTCACTGAATGCGCCAAGAGGCTTTTACCTTTTACGCCTCACTCACCTTTACTTCTAAACAAGTTGAAATCACTTCGGTCCACTTTTTTCCTCTTATTGTGTGGAGTCTTTGTCGCTTAGAACATCTCCAACTTGATGCTTTTGTGTGCTCAACTAATGGGTCTCACGCACGCACGCACACACGCACTCACACACAAAACAAACTACTAGAAGGTTTTATTGCAACGAGTTTTGCAGCTTCCGTGTTCAGCACATTTGCCTCACGTTTATGGGGTAACATTTTTTTGTGGGAATCCCGCAGGTCCCGGGAATCCCGTGGGAGTCAACTTGACCTTGAATCACGGGATTGGGACAGTACATGATAAAAGTTCACGGAGTGGGATTATCCAATAGGGGTAAAAAAAAAAAACTCGGTCTGATTCGCAGCTTTTTTTTAATGAAGCTGACCTCCAAAATGGGAGCGGCTCGGGAGTGGGAGTGTTGTATTCGTTCACATTTTAAAATGCAAACATTTCTACATGAATGTGCCGTTTTGACTTGACTTAAATGTTGCATATTGATCTTGATATTTTTACCTCTACTTTTAAATCGTTGAATAATTACTGTGAGGAATCCTGAACATGATCAGGGTCTTCGCATAGATGAGTATCATGAATTATTAAAACCAAACAACCTAATCATGAAAGGTAATTTGAGCAAATATATTTGGAAAGTGTGCATCAAACTGGTAGCCCTTTGCATTTGTCAGTCCCCAGGAAGTAGCTCTCAGTTTCAAAAAGGTCGGTGACCCCCGGTTTAGACAATTAATAGGTGGAACATCATATTGAATGCCTGATTGATATCGTTTCTGCGTAGGAGTACCACAGACCTCTCCTGGAAGCCGACCCGCGCATCCTGAGCCCTCGCAAGATCCGACCCATATTCTACAGAGTCCGGGAGATCACGCATTGCCATTCCATGTTCCAGATTGCGCTGGCGTCACGTGTGGCTGAATGGGACAGCTGTGAGAAAATCGGAGACTTGTTTGTCGCCTCGGTCAGTGTGAAAAGTGACCTTTCTTGTGCATTTTCGGAGGGGGGATTCATCGCTTTGAGCTGGGCAGCGCGGTAGATCTAGTGGTTTGCATGTTTGCCACGCAGTTTTGAGCTCAGCTGTGCAATGTGTACAATAATATCTCAGAACTAAGCATTACCTCAACAAAAGAGGATCATTTGTTTGTTTTGCGCATTCGGGAGTTTTATTTCCGCCTTTCACTGCATCGTGTCAACAATTTCTTGACTTCTCGGCGAATAATGCACAACTCTCGCTTGAGTTACCCTCCAGCCTAATGAGGACAAACGGGATAGACGGATAAAGTTTGAGCTCAGTCACTATCTGGCTGTCATATACTGCCGGTGTTGCTAACCAAAACAGAGGCACCTTCTCTGCCAATTAGAGGTCCAGTAGATTGTGCTCAGTGTGCATAGTTGTGCACATTTTTTTTTTGTTTTCCTTGGAACAGCGGTAATTAAAAAAACACCCTTGATAACCTCTCATAACAGAGCATTACCTGCACTGAGGAGGCTTGTTTATTTGTTTGCCCTTGCCACTTTTTTTTTTTTTTTTTAATTAAAACACTTCAGATCGTTCTCTTCCACGGTTCACGTGAGCTGCAGGTAGTAGATTGAGAAAATTGGCCAGGGTGGGTAGGGGGCATGCATTCTGGCTCTAAAATGAACACATTCAGCAGGACTTTTTCATTGTGGAGTTCAGCACCCATTAGGTCCACTCATTATTTGTCCATCAGCGTCAAGGATTCGACCCTCTAATTCTCTGCTGGACATCATGTAGTGCTGCTATATTGGTGCCCCGAACGCCAAATGAGCCCTCGGTGGAAAAGAAAAGAAAAGAAAGAAAGTGCTGGATGGAATCTACTTCTTTTCATACAGGGTGAAAGCGCAAGGAAAGCATTGCTGGGGAGTAACAAAGTACAAATACTTTTTCAGGTATCTGTACTTTACGCAAGTAGTTTTTTTCCGTCAATTTTATTCTTTTTATCGCACCATTTGAAAACATAGCAGTGCTTTGTACTTTGTGAAAATAGTCTCCAAGCTCAAACGCTGCAAACAGCGACGTGAAAAAGATGTAACCTTTGGGAAAATCAATCGCCGTTGAGAATATTCATCATTCATAGCCTTGTTTCAAACATTTTGGGATGTTGTCAGCTCCAAGAATGATTCCTGATGAATGTGTTGCCATCAACTTCTGCCATTCAAAAATTCACAGTCTCATCATTAGCTAATGTAGCATTTCTTTTTGTTTTTGTCAGTTTTCCAAGTTAGCTGTATTGTTTTGATCGAGCCAGTAATAGCCAACTCTTAAACATCAACATGCAACACTTAGTTTTCTTTCTTCTTCTCTGTATGCGCACAAAATGAATTAAACTCCTGAATCAACGCGCCACTTTATCTGCACTTCTGCTTGAGAGTGTGATGACTTTAGCCACCAGTAAAGACTGTTGTGTCTGAAACTCACTCTGAAAGCGCCCGCGTTGAACTCTTGGCCAAACACTTCAACGCAGCTCCTTTCATCGCAATCATCTCCTCGGTGTGTTTGCGGGGTGAGTAAACACTCCTAAAGACGCTTGCTTCTCGGTGTGTTCTCAGTTCTCCAAGTCCATGGTGCTGGACGTGTACAGCGACTATGTGAACAACTTTACCAACGCCATGGCGCTCATTAAAAAGGCCTGCCTATCCAAACCGGCCTTTCTGGAATTCCTGAAGGTGAGCTTTTCTGTTTCTGAAGAAGGTTTTTCCTTTCCCCCCCTCATACAAAGATGTATCGTTTGTTTTCCTGTGTAGCGTTTGCAGCTGATTGTGACTCGTTGCGCCTTCCCCCAAGGCAGATGGCCGTTTAATAATGCATACATCTTGACTTTGTAAGGAGACAATCTAATACTTTCCACAACTTACCTTTTTATGTGCTTTATAAATGTCCTGCTCTTGTGGAAATAAGTCCTATTAGATGTAGACACATTTTATGGTTTGGGAATGTATACCCCATTTTCTCAAATAGTGGCTAGGGGCAGTTTATTTACTAGGCTGCAGCACCGAGTGTTTATTTGACACAGGTCGACGGAGAATGGTTACTTCCGTGTTACAATGGGAAATGGGTTACTGCCTCACATTATTCCTTTTTCTGGTCCCTTTATTGCTAATTACAGTCAATAAAAGTAGTTTACTTGAAGTTGAAGCTAACAAGTTCAAGCTAAGCAACCCACTTATGTTACTTTTGTTCCGTCGCTTTGAACGCATTCACCGGAATCGGAGACATGCTGACCAACAACAACAACAACAGCAGTGGAGGCCATTGGAAGGGGTGGAATGTTATTCAGCAGGAGATTGGGGGCACTAAAGAAAATGTAGCGTTGCAGCCAAGTGGATACTATGGACTATATAGTAAGCAGCATGCCAAGCTAAATTTCGAGAAACAATCTCTCATTGAACACATCAGTAGTGACGCTAACAAACAACAACAGTGGAGGGCAAGGTAAGAAATACGGATGTTCAATAGCACTTTTTTTTTTCGGATACCACCACTGTTGCTAACCAAAACAGAGGTCCAGTGAGACAATTCCTTTGCGTTCTGACCAAGCCGTTACTGGATATGTGGACTGGTTTTCTCAGTTTCCGTAACGGAAGCGCCTCCTGATCCTTGACACCAATGATGACTTTTCTATTATAGCGAGGGCTTGTCTTACCTTTTGCCGTTTCAAAAAAAGTGCAAAAATACACAGAGCACTTAATTTCTGAAGAGTGAACTGCAAATAGGCGGGGGCTGACTGTAGACAAAGCGTTTCCTTTTTTTTTTTTTTTTTTACTATTGCACCTTCCCATTCCATTTCTGCAGCTCCACCACTCTTAGTGATCCCCCGAGGAGAGGCGCACTCAAGCTAATGGTGGTGGAGGAACATTAGCACCTTGTAATTTCCATGGCGTCGAGTCGCATCTTTTGCTGGGGTCCGCCGCTTACGTCTTCCATTCGCCCGGCCACCTGGAAGTGACGGCACGACGAATAACAAATCATAAACGAAGCCCCCTGGGTGTCCAGACTCCCATTTGCCGGCTGGCGACTGTGACTCTGCTTGATGCCTCCCATAAATGATTACTGGGGGCCGGATTACTGCAGGCGCGGCTTTTTGTATCAGCAGAGAAATTCAGGTCCTGTCCTCAGTGTTCAGTCAGGTGAAGTATATTATTGTGCGAGGCACTCCCGGGGCTTTATCTGCCATCTTTGTCAAGCCGCCGAGTTTGAGCATCACTGTCTTGATTAAGAAAGAGCACTGTCCTCAATCACTGCCGCTTATGTATTTTCTATTATTCATACCATTTTGAATTATTGAGAACCGTCTCCAGTGGTGGAATTGGACAGACTTTGCAGCTTGGATCTTTAGTTATACCCCGATAAGCAGTTCACTCATCACAAAGTCACCTGTTCATTTTTGGTTTTGTCAAACCTTGAAATGCTGCAAGATGGTGTCCCTTCCCTGGCTAATAATAGCAGTGTCAAGGACATATGTTGAAGTGCTACAGCTCCACTGTTTATGATCTTTCTTGGATGTAGGAAAGTGGTTGACTTTAGCCTGGGTTGTCAACGGAAAGTTTTCACTGCATGGCAATGTATGTTTTGGAATTAACACATTATTTAGAGTTTGTTGTATATATTTTTTGTTTAAAATATTGATATCGGCAAACCGTTTCTCATGGATAGCAGGTGTTACTGCATTGATCTTAACGTGGACGACATTGACACGTTGCAGGAAATGACATGTGATTTCCAAACGATAGGACACGTTCCTTTCTAAACTTCATTCATTATCCCATCAGTCAGTTTTCCTCTCAGTCCAGAGAAGACGCATGTGCTCTTCTTCTGTTATTAATCATTCAATAAAGTGTCAAACGGAAGAGAGAAGAACAAGCACAAGGACAGATGGCGTCAATAACCTTAATGGGCCATTATGATGTCTTCATTCACCGACAGGAACATTACCAAACTCTGAAGTGTCTCACTCCAATTATTGCTTCTTCACACTTTTACCCGATTAGAGGTTAGGCTTTCACAAATTGGCCTCGCGTCTTCACACAGAAAGACCCCAAGTTAGCTTTTTTTTTTTCTTTTACAGATTTTGTGTTGGAGCTCATTAGATTGTGAAAGTGATTTGACACGTGTGTCAAATTTGTGTGCAGTGATAATGTGACAATGATCCACAGTCTCATAACAGCACAAACTGGGCTGGGCCAAAGTCAAGTTATTTTAATTGGCTTTGAATTCCTGTAAATTTAAAGCGCCATTAAAAATGGATGAAGAGATGCAATGAGATACTCTCGGTGAACACATGCACCGAAGCTATAAGCAACTTTGTCTTGTGTGGCGTTGGAAAAAAAAAATCATTTGAAATACTTGGAGCATCTAACTTTGACAAATTATCACCAGCTTTTAGGTTTTCCATTCCATTCTGGGTTTTTCAGCACCCGGAGTCCGATTTGCATTATTTCATGACTCGTCATCACCGATTAAGAAGATTTTTAGCCATAGCTTTTGAAACGCGTGAGGAGCCAGGGAGGCAGGTCATATATTTTGAATGACAATATTCTGTTGTTGTCAACCCTGCCCCCACCCCCATGCAGAAGAAGCAGGCATCCAGCTTGGACCGCATCACTCTCTACGGCCTGATGGTGAAGCCCATCCAGCGATTCCCCCAGTTTATATTGCTTCTGCAGGTATGACCGCGTTGACCAAACCAACACGCTTGGGGTAGAACGACTTCACATTTTTTGATCAGCCAACATTGCGGTGATGATGGTCAAGTCGGCGTCGACTGATCCATGATGTCATTTTGATTGATTGAGTCGTCACCTTGCTGTCCGCACGTTTGTTTGATCCAAAGACAATTGCTTTTACTGGCTATTTCAGGACATGCTGAAGAACACGCCCAAGGGCCATGTGGACCGGCTGCCCCTGCAGCTCGCCCTCACCGAACTGGAGACGCTGGCCGAGAAGCTCAACGAGCAGAAGCGGGTCGCCGACCAGATTGCAGAGACCCAGCAGCTGGCGCGCAGCGTCAGCGATCGTCTGCTCAGTAAGGTGACCAATCACAGAAAACACCTTTCAGTACTTTTGACTGCCCTTGACACCTGCAAATGAAAAATTTGTCACACGGCATCCATTTTCGATTGCGCTCCTTAATCGGGTTGCTGGTTTTGACAGTATACCATAGTCAAGAAGACACAAATAAAGATGACTTTAAAAACTACTGTAAGTGACTTTTGCCAAAGATAAATAGTAGATGCCTGTATGTATTGCTATATTGTTAGTCTACATGTGTTGCCACACCTTTTGTGTCAAATATGCTATTCATTAGCCCATCTGTGGCATTTTGCAAGATGTGTCAGTTTTAAGCTAGTGGACTTCAAGATCAAGTCGTGTGGTTGTTGTTGTTGTTGTTTTTTTTTTTAATACCCAATTCTCTACAAATTTTTTGCAGATTTGAAAACTCAAAATTATCAATAATTAAGACTGATTGTTTGTCTACATGCGCCCTATCTGCAATTGACAGGCGACCAGTCCAGGGTGCACTCTGCTTATCATGCCAAAAGTCAGCTAGGATAGACTCCAATTCTCCCACAATGAGGATTAAAACTGCAAGAAAAAAGATGCATCAGAGAATTTGTCTGAATGTTTTGGAATTGTGCTGCTGCCCTGGAGGAGTTGTCCCATCACGTTGTTCCCCTACAAACTAATACTTGAGCACTCAGTTTTGCTTTGAGATGCAATTTATCAGCAATCAGTTCCAGACAGTTGCCAGAAATTCTAATCATCGCCGCTGATCTCTAGCGGGGAGGTGTTTTTTTTAAATTTTGATAAACACCTGAAAATTACACCTATTATCATAGCCAGTCTCCATTAGCAACCCGAAATGAGGTCTCGCAGCCGATCGTGTCAACAAATGCTGCACTGTATAAAAAGAATTAGACGCTAAATGACACATTTAATTGGAAACTGTGAAGAGCGCTCTCTTTTTGCGGACCCCCCACCCCCCGTCCTATGGAACATCTCAACAATCCAACCCCCTGGCTACTTCCTCCTCCCAGTCAGCCGATGCATTCCAAGCCTACAAGATGAGCTGATTGGGCCGATCTGCTTTTATTCCTCGCACCCAATTCACTGCAGTGACACTGCAGAAAGGGAGACTGCCTCTTCTTCTATTGCCCCTATAACTGTCCAATGAAATATTCATTCTTTGCCTCACACTGTCTATGCTAGCCACATGGAACTGATAACAGTCACTGTGAATGCAAACCCCCACCACACACGCATTCACGCGTACACAATCACACACACCTATAAATGCGACACAAAGCCCTTTGTGCCCTGTTTCTGGCGACTTTAAGAATACGGTTTTACAGCAAGGAAGCCATTAAACCACCAATCACTCCCTTTATGGGCTCGGGCCTGAAGCGAACCGCCGGGTAGACATTGCGGGAGGAGGGGCGTCCTCCAAGATGCTTCCCCGCACTGCCGAGGCGGCGTTTTCACCATACAAACGTCACATCATGAAAAGCTTGACATCCGTATTTGAATGAACTCCCTCCTGCTTGTAACATTTAGTCGCTGTGGTGTCATAACTCTTTCAGCAACGGATGTTTGACTGCATGTAGCGCCAATATAACAATACTCAGGCATATTTTCTTGTTCTGTCGAACATAAAATACAAATGCAAATAAAATAAAGATGAGTAATTGCATGTAAATGGTTCGTCTATGCAGTGCTAATTAGCTGAGGTCATAATGGTACTTAGAGTGCAGTTAGAATTAATCTCAATGTACTTAAATGACCAACAATCACGTTAGGTATGTCAAATGTAGGTGGCCAAAACATGACTAATTCAAAATTAAACTACACAAATAAAGTAACCGTAGGCTGCTGCAACTGCACAAAACAATCTTGCCTTTTTAACTGATGCGCTGCTTCTAATATCGCGATAAGACAATGACCATATTGAGGCAATTTTAATATCGCGATTATCATTACATCCCAAATGTTCAAAACGTGTTTTGATAACTTGACATAATGTGGATGAGGGGACTTATCCGCACACAAAATAATTTGTCTATTTTATGAACTGGCATGGTGCTTGTATTGCGAAAGAAAAAAAAAGCTTGAAATCCGGATGACGTATTGATTTTAGACACTCATAAAAGAAGCAGGACAAAGAGATAAAAATGCTTCCTCTTGAATAAAACTATTATTGGGTGCTAAAATTGTATATGTAGCAAACCCGATATGCAGCTAACAATGTGCCCCCACTAGTCCATGTATTACACATCGATTGAAAAAGTAATCAGGCCGACGGCCTCGTTTTGTGGCACTTCCTATGATCTAATCGATCCAAGTGTCCCTCGCAGCAACTCAACCTGGAGCAGGGGTCTCTGGTCCAGTGCGAGACGCTCATCGAGACCGTGTATGGCGAGCGGGGACAAGTCCTCAAGTCCAAGGAGCGCAAGGTCTTCCTCTTCGACGACGTCTTAATCTGCGCCAACATAAATGTCAAGTAAGTCCAGGCGGGAGAAGCAAATTTCCCTTTTTCTGCTCACGCACTTGTGGAGTTTTCCTCGGGAGGCTGGCAGCGAATGGCAATTAGGTTACATGAGGCTCTAATGTGACGGTCAGAGAATATTCCGGCGTAGCACAGCAGATGTCTGCGAGGGGTTTGGAGTACTATCCGAGCGTGCAGGGGTTCAGTCGGCTTTTTAAACAAAACGCTAGAATGCCTAATGACAGCTGCAGGAGTCCTAGATTAGTGATTTGGGCTCTTTCCTATGAAGCATCTGTGACAGAACCATCCGTCTCATCTAGTAAAGCAGGGAGAGGGATTTTGTATTTGGGATTCTTTTTTTTCCTTTCTAAAGATGCTGCTTACGGCCCTCTTGTCACAGCAATTATCGCTCCATGTCGCATTCCACTCAAGAATCCCAAAGTTGACTTTGCCTGCCCTCTGGAATCTCAACAAACTGAGCGCCATGTTGATTGTCTGCGTGATTGCACGAATACATGAATGACAATGAGCTGCACTTCGCAGCATGCCTTCCACTTGTCGTTGGGAACATGTCTGATGAGCCACATCCTAATTACAGAAACATCCATGTTAAATTCTGAAGAGAATTTTCTTCAATGCTTACGAAAAACACGGACGAAAGCGGAGGGCTAAATTGTTCTCGATGAACGTTAGGTTCCTTAAAAACAAAACTCGGCTTCGGTGTTGACAAAAATTAGTTTTTTAGGTTCATGGAAGGCACACGGTTGTCTTCGGCTTATCGAAGACTTAATTGTCCCGACACAATGTGCATAGAAAGCACTAAAGTATCTTCAATGCATACAAAAATGTATGTGTCAGCTTCAATGAGGGCTGAATTGTTGTAATTACTAATACACGCATGTTGAAACACCAAACTGCCTTTTACTTAAATTCGTTCGGTACAGTATCTTATGCACGTTGAGGACTCACTTATTTGGTATGAATGTCCGTTGCCTATGTTGAGGACCAAACTTTCTGTGGTTTGCATAAAACCACATACATAAAGTTGGTTTCAACTCTGCACTAGCTTCATTGAGGACTCGAAATTTGACTTTGTTGCTTCTGAAATGAGTTCCATAATGCTTTTCGTGACTAAATTCTCTTTGATGGTCTTGAAGACTTAATTGTCAAATTGACAAATTGGCAGTTGCGTGGCCCCACCCCGTTGCTCAAGTTGTTCTCGTCATCGCCCACCAGGGGGTCTCCAGACATCAGCAGCCTGGTCCCGGTGGGGCCCAAGTACACCATGAAATGGAGCGCCCCCTTGCAGCAGGTGCAGGTGGCGGAGGTGGGTCAGGAGACCTGCCAGGGCAAGGACGCCGTCTTCCAGCAGAATGCGAGCAAGCGGCAAAGCGGCGCCCACGCTTCAGGTGAGCCCAAGCTGAGATCAAGCGCGCCTCATCCGTTTCATCCATTTGCCACATGCGTCTCCGTCAAGTTAATCCAGCTGCGTCAACCATTTCCCTCCGAGGGCTGCATACAGACAAAATGGAGAGACGCAAGGGCTGCATTGAAAATATTTGACTTTGTTTTATTAAAATCCCGATGATTAAATCAATTCGTTAATCCATTATGTATTATCCCGGTGGTGACTTGAGATGTGAGGGCCGTTGTTTGGCCACCCCTGAGTTCATCTCATCACTTGGACTGACCTTTGGAGTGACTCAGCGCGGCTAATCAGTTTCTGTCCTCAAGTGTTCCGTGGAGGGCTGCCGACGAATCCGCTCTGCTTGTCACTCTGATTGAGGACGATGTTTGCGAGAAGGGATAGCGATGACGGCCACTTGTTTCCGCGCCAGCCCGCGGGCCGCTTTATCTTGAAGAGAGATGCGAGGGTAGACGGGCTCCCTTGCCGCAGTGTCACCGCCATCTCATTTCGCTCTCTGATAGACCACAAACACGTCCAAGGCGCAGTCATCAATCTCCTGAGATTGTGCCGCCATTTTCCAGGCCCAATTAGGGAGCCCCGCGCTTTTGATTGGAACTGGCGGTCAAGGAACTCGTCTAACCCACGCTGCATACGATTGGGATGCAGACGCAGCTTAACCAGATTTCAGACGAATGTGAAAGTGGGCATATGATGATCCATCAGGATTGTACTGTAATCATGTACAGTAAACCTCACAGGGGAGTGAAACCAAGGCTGTGGTGGATTTGATCGAGGTGCATGCAGACAGTGTGGTACATGTCATCGTATTACATCATCATCAATATAACAACAGCCTACATCAAACCCTCTGAGCCTTTGAAAAAAAATCAATTGAACACATGATTGTTTTCGTCTTTATTAGATTTCCTTAATCACTTCCCTGGGCCGCAGCACAGCTGTGCTGCATGGGGAGGAGATATTCTTGCAGTTTTTTCGAAGCACACTTTGTGCACGTCCATATCCTGCATGGACTCCCGCGAGTCAATTCTGCTTTCGCCAAGTCAAAGACTATATGCGCCTCTCCTGTGCTGACTTTGAAGGGAATGAGATGAGCTGCCGCCATTGGCCCAAAAGGAAGTTGGCAGTGTTCACTCCCACAACGGCGCAATCACTCTTTTCAAATTGCGCTCATCTGAAATACCAAATGAAAGCACACTCCTCCCATTGCACACAGTGACAACGTGCTTTGCGGTAGACCCGCACTAGATATGAAAATAGTGCCCGACATTTGAAGTCTTGGTCTGTTAAATTGAACGCAAAACTTGTTTTGCTCTGTATGAATGTCCGCAGCTTCATTGTGCCTTTGGTCATCTTGACAAAGTGCATTTTGCCTGTCACTGTACGTCGCAAACAGATCGATCAACAAAGGTATATTTTTTGTCGTAAATCAATTGTCATTTTTGAACGACTTAAAATTTCCCGCAGTATACCTGTTGATCTCTCATGGCACATGCACATATGCCAGGGATGTGTCCTGATTAATCCGATTGCGCCTCGCGCCTGCCTGATGCATGATCATCGCCACATTGCACAATGTATTTTTAGGAGGAGGGAGAAATAAGACTCAAAGTCCTAAACTTGCTCTCCTCCTCCGATTACACCCCCGCCTCATTGGGGTGCATTGATCGTCTGATGAGTTGCAGCAGGCTTTGGATGCGGATCAGACAGGGTTTACATTCACCTATTCCCGTGGCGACGCTTGAAATCCCCCGGAGGACCCGAACATCGTCACACCTGCGCGACTTAGTTCGGGAAAAGCCGATGTTTCGACCAAGCGCTCAGGGCTGGCGGCTGCCCGCGCACGGCCATTTGCGAGCGTGAAAACCCACGTCTAGGCCTCACAGGATTACGCTGGATTACAACTCAGCACATTCACCTCAGGGAGGGTTTTTACCATTCGGATCATTCACACGGGTGTGTGTTCTGGCTGAAACAAGGACGGTTTCTTTGAAGTATTTTATTCGTGTGTTATTTTGCAGAAAACGCTCATCACCTTGAAAAACTCCCTGATTGTACGACCCTGAAAAACCTCAAACATAAGGCATAAAGCTCACTCAGTATGTATGTATTCTTTTGTGAAATACCATGTGGCTGGTGACTGAAGAAAATATATTCACCTGTCTGATTTGGGTGTAAAAAGGTGAACTTCACACTCCCGTCACAATAACAGCAGTTGGGCAGTCAGTGAAAAGAGGCTTCAAGCTAATTATTTGAACGCCAAGTTTAAATGTACTGTCAAACTAAATGTAAAACATGTGAAGTAGATGCTGTGTAATTAAAAGCATGACTACTTTTGCAATAGAAAAGTCCGCTTAGCTTTATATGAACCAAAAATGCGTAGATGGGCTGACAAATTGCATCAGTGTTGCAGTCTTAAACCCCTTTAAACAACGGACATTTAAAAGAATTATGTGACGACAGATAACATAACGTAACTCACAGATGTGTTCTCTATCCTCTGCGTAGAGCAGCTAACATTTGCAGCTCTCTGAGGGCTGTGTAATTAAAAGCATGACTACTTTTGCAATAGAAAAGTCCGCTTAGCTTTATATGAACCAAAAATGCGTAGATGGGCTGACAAATTGCATCAGTGTTGCAGTCTTAAACCCCTTTAAACAACGGACATTTAAAAGAATTATGTGACGACAGATAACATAACGTAACTCACAGATGTGTTCTCTATCCTCTGCGTAGAGCAGCTAACATTTGCAGCTCTCTGAGGAGCTGTAACAGTACATCCATCCTAATGTCTCTCTTGTACTTGTAATTTGCAGCAAAATGTCCATCGAAATTAAGCAAACATTGTAGCAAAATACGTTTAGTTCTGATGGAAGTGTTCTGAAATAAGATGGCGGCGCAGGTGGTTCTTAGGAATTCCGTATTTCTGGAAAAACTTTAATTCCGCCAGCCCGTGCGCCAGCCCGTGTACCAGTCCAAGCAATTCTCTGCCGCCTTTCTCCACCCGCCTATTGATTGCCGACGGCTGCCACTGGGCTCCTTAGCACACTTTGTGCACGTCCATATCCTGCATGGACTCCCGCGAGTCAATTCTGCTTTCGCCAAGTCAAAGACTATATGCGCCTCTCCTGTGCTGACTTTGAAGGGAATGAGATGAGCTGCCGCCATTGGCCCAAAAGGAAGTTGGCAGTGTTCACTCCCACAACGGCGCAATCACTCTTTTCAAATTGCGCTCATCTGAAATACCAAATGAAAGCACACTCCTCCCATTGCACACAGTGACAACGTGCTTTGCGGTAGACCCGCACTAGATATGAAAATAGTGCCCGACATTTGAAGTCTTGGTCTGTTAAATTGAACGCAAAACTTGTTTTGCTCTGTATGAATGTCCGCAGCTTCATTGTGCCTTTGGTCATCTTGACAAAGTGCATTTTGCCTGTCACTGTACGTCGCAAACAGATCGATCAACAAAGGTATATTTTTTGTCGTAAATCAATTGTCATTTTTGAACGACTTAAAATTTCCCGCAGTATACCTGTTGATCTCTCATGGCACATGCACATATGCCAGGGATGTGTCCTGATTAATCCGATTGCGCCTCGCGCCTGCCTGATGCATGATCATCGCCACATTGCACAATGTATTTTTAGGAGGAGGGAGAAATAAGACTCAAAGTCCTAAACTTGCTCTCCTCCTCCGATTACACCCCCGCCTCATTGGGGTGCATTGATCGTCTGATGAGTTGCAGCAGGCTTTGGATGCGGATCAGACAGGGTTTACATTCACCTATTCCCGTGGCGACGCTTGAAATCCCCCGGAGGACCCGAACATCGTCACACCTGCGCGACTTAGTTCGGGAAAAGCCGATGTTTCGACCAAGCGCTCAGGGCTGGCGGCTGCCCGCGCACGGCCATTTGCGAGCGTGAAAACCCACGTCTAGGCCTCACAGGATTACGCTGGATTACAACTCAGCACATTCACCTCAGGGAGGGTTTTTACCATTCGGATCATTCACACGGGTGTGTGTTCTGGCTGAAACAAGGACGGTTTCTTTGAAGTATTTTATTCGTGTGTTATTTTGCAGAAAACGCTCATCACCTTGAAAAACTCCCTGATTGTACGACCCTGAAAAACCTCAAACATAAGGCATAAAGCTCACTCAGTATGTATGTATTCTTTTGTGAAATACCATGTGGCTGGTGACTGAAGAAAATATATTCACCTGTCTGATTTGGGTGTAAAAAGGTGAACTTCACACTCCCGTCACAATAACAGCAGTTGGGCAGTCAGTGAAAAGAGGCTTCAAGCTAATTATTTGAACGCCAAGTTTAAATGTACTGTCAAACTAAATGTAAAACATGTGAAGTAGATGCTGTGTAATTAAAAGCATGACTACTTTTGCAATAGAAAAGTCCGCTTAGCTTTATATGAACCAAAAATGCGTAGATGGGCTGACAAATTGCATCAGTGTTGCAGTCTTAAACCCCTTTAAACAACGGACATTTAAAAGAATTATGTGACGACAGATAACATAACGTAACTCACAGATGTGTTCTCTATCCTCTGCGTAGAGCAGCTAACATTTGCAGCTCTCTGAGGAGCTGTAACAGTACATCCATCCTAATGTCTCTCTTGTACTTGTAATTTGCAGCAAAATGTCCATCGAAATTAAGCAAACATTGTCGCAAAATCTGTTTAGTTCTGATGGAAGTGTTCTGAAATAAGATGGCGGCGCAGGTGGTTCTTAGGAATTCCGTATTTCTGGAAAAACTTTAATTCCGCCAGCCCGTGCGCCAGCCCGTGTACCAGTCCAAGCAATTCTCTGCCGCCTTTCTCCACCCGCCTATTGATTGCCGACGGCTGCCACTGGCTTCCTTTGTCCGAGGCGCCATTAAACAGCAAAGCTCTACGATAGAGCTCCTTAAATGAACATCTCAAGTACATCCTAACATCCTCTCGCTTCCATTCACGAGGAGAGACAACAAGTCCCCGAGGAGGGGCAACTAAGCCTGCGTATAGCCCGTGATCTTCATCTTTGTTGATTACATGCTAGTGTTGACGGTGCGCGACACCTCTGCAGTCAAATGTACCTCGCGGATTTAATTAGGCGCTGGCGGGAGCCGGGGAAAGCGCACCATCGATTGGCGGCAGTAGGCGAGCGAGACTTTGAAGGTAAGCGCCGCCTGTGGATCGATGCCGTGTTTTGTGTCTCATAAGACACCTGCATTCCTTTTGGCCCAGCAAAGAGCATCATAGCCCCGAATAACAATTTCTGCGTTCCGTGGCTGGAGCTCCACTCCGTAATGATGACGATCGATACAGCCGCAACACAACACCCCTTTTCCATTTTTACCTCCACGCTTTGGGAAGACAATAGCCGCTGTTTTTCCAATTCAATTGTTTTTTGGGTTGTTGTTGTTGTTGTTTTTTTTTTTTTTTTTTTTTTTTTGGTATTTTGTTCGAC